TTGTTATTGTTGTTGAATCTTTTCATTTATGTCCATACTTTGTTTGATTGTTCTTGAATCCGAAATTAGTATAAGTTTGATTTTCTTGTTTATTGTTTATCATTTATGATTATTTCTTGAGTTTGTCTCACAATCTTGTTTAAGTTTAATATAGGAATTGTTGGTTGTAATGTTATTAGATTTAATTTTAAGTTCAAATGATTATTGAATTTAGCAATCTGAATATACTTGTTTGTTGTTGTTGTTGTTGTTGAATCTAAAGGTAGGTTTGTTTGTTGTTAAAAATATTGTTCAATCAAAATTTTAGTTGTTCTTTGATGTTCATCATTTAGTTTGAATTTGTTGTTGAAAATTGTTTAGAAATTGGTCATATTTGTTGTATTTTGGTTGAAATTGATTAGGTGAATTGGTTATAGCTGATGGGGGTAGTTTGGTAATTTGCAGTACGTTCAGAGGTAAATTGGTAATTTCAGTAAGGTCGGAGGGGTATTTTTGGAATTAAATATTTGAACAATTGTTTAATATAATGGGGGACAAGACATAAATTAGTGGGGGAATAATGTAATTTTTTATGTTAAGCATGGGGGACAAGATGTAATGGGGTGGGGTTGATACATTTGTTTAATGTAATGGGGGACAAAACATTAGGTAGTGGGATTAAAAAGGGGATGAGTGGGAAGATAGTGGGTTTGGTAGGAGAAAGTGGTTGTTTTATTAATAGTTTAAAGGGTTTGGGATGGATATAAATAAAGAGATTTTTTTGATCAGATTTTTAGAAGACAGAATACAGAAGAAAATTTTAAGAGAGAGGAAATTCCGAAAAATACTAAGACTTTAGAAAATAAAAAGAAAAACATTCTGGAAATTCAAAAGAAGAAGAGTATACATCTGATATACAATCCAAATATTCTGATATACGGATTCAGAAATTAAGGGTTAAACACTAACTAGTCTTTCAAAATCTGAAAAGATTCCCTTTGCTTCTGTCCGTTGATTGTTGTTGGTGTTTCTGGATTTTTGTCTTGATTTTAAAATCTGTCACTAAGTTTCTAGTTGCTGGTTGTTACTGGTTGCTGGNTTGGAAAAGTCGAATATTTTCCTCGATTTGGGATTCAAGATAAACCAGTGACTTGGGACACCAAAAGCCAAACCTTTCCCAAGTGGTGACTCTGAATTAAATAAATAATCCCATTTCGAATATTGTCACTTAAATTGGAAAATCTCCCTCGCGCATTTTACCCTTCAGGGCGGGCGCGCAAAAAGGGCTGGATCAACACAAAAATGAACAACAATAAGAAGAACAAAAAACTTACTAGAGCCACGAGATTCCCGACACTTGATTTGTGTTGTTTGCCCTTTGTTTGGGTCTTGGATCATGAGAGAATGTTTTTAGTGTTCTAAGTCTGAATACACTGAAAAATAATGACTTAAAATGGGGTTGAGGCATATTATATCTATCCATATGTCTTAAACCGCCTTTGCGGGCCCCATATAGCGTTGTTTGGCGTAGTCTCGCAAAAATGTAAATATCTCTTTACTCCGATATCGTATCGACAAACAGTTTAATGAATTGGAAACTAGATTCATAGATCTTCAATTTTGTTGGTAGATCACCCCGTATTTTCAAGAAAATTGGTATAAAAGCTTAGTAACATTTGACATAAGTCTAAGTAAAACTATGAACCTAAGTTGCGACAACTTTTGTCGACTTTTGTTTCATAACTCGTTTGACTTCAAGACTTATGGTATGGATATTATATGATTCAAATACTTAAAACACAAAATTTTGAGTATATTAAGCACCTCTAGATTTACCCAAAAATACAACATCCTTGATTTGTTAACTTCTAATACTTGTTAACCACCCTTATACACCCTTGTATCATTTAAGACCAATAGGATTAACTTCTTATCATCTTAAAGATAATCTTTTCATGGATTTACGTTAACTACCTTACGGCATGAACTAGCGGGTATTGATTGAAGAATAAATAAACTCAAACATGTAGCAATTATTTGACCGATAACAAACAAGGCATGAATAACAAATAAGAACATGTAGCAATTCAAGACAAGTAATGAAAAATAAAATATAATGAACAAAGATATAAAGGTAAATAGTCTAACCCGCATGCTTTAGCCCATGACAACGCATATGCACTCGTCGCCATGCATATACAAAGTCCCCACACATAGTTCATCTAACAAATTGACAACCAAGCCCTAATTCACTCAAGTCAAAGTTAAACACGACACTTATCTCATTTCACAACCAATCACGACTTTTCCTTACGAACAAACCTCCAACCAACCAAATCTAGCAAAATACTGTTTAAACAATTCCAAATAAGCTTTACAAACTATCCACGAATGAAAAAGGTAATCTTTAACTAAATTGAAAAGGTTAAATCTTTAACTAAATTGAAAAAGTCAATAAAAATTAATCCTGGGTTGCTTGGTCAAAATCCAAGATTCGGACCAAATCTCGATTAGCCATTCATCCCGAAGCTCGATTAGGTTATTCGTTTCGTAATTTGACCTTAATTTAAGGTCTAAATCTCAATTTTATACAGTTTCTAAATTCCACCATGAAATCCCTCGATTGGATGTTAAAAGCTCATGAAAAGCAATTGAAATTAATTGAAAACTAGTTGATGATGCTTACCAGTGAATTTGGGAAGAAAACGTTCTTCAAAAATTGGCTCTAGAGTATTTAGGGTTGAACTTTTTTGTAAAATGAGCTAAGTCCCGATTTTCTCCTCTTTTACCCAGTAGCAGGTGTCGCATTTGTGAACATTTGTTCGCAAATGCGATGTCCGTAAATGCAACACACTGATTGCAAATGGGATCAGTGCATCAGGCTCGAAGTTACAAATGTGACATTTTTATCGCAAATCCGGACA